GGTAGACATGATCGGCTTCCAGGGAGATGCACAATTCTAGGCCAGCGATTGCTGCCTCATATTCGGCTTCGTTGTTCGAGGTCTTAAAAGAAAATTTCAGTGCATACTCGAAGGATTTGCCTTCGGGAGAAGTTATCACTACTCCTGCCCCCGAACCATTTTCGGTGGAAGATCCATCCGTAAACACGGTCCAGACTTTCTTTTCATTGTCTAGCGCTTCTTGGTATGAGCATTCGGCCAAGAAATCCGCTAGAGCTTGAGCCTTAATGGCAGCCCTCGGACGGTAGCTGATGCTGAATTCGGTGAGCTCAAAAGCCCACTTGGCTAGCCTACCAGATTTTTCAACTTTGCCGAGAACTTTTTCCAACGGCTGATCAGTTAAGACCACTATCTGATGACAATCAAAATAGGGCCTCAGCTTCCGAGCAGCTACTACTACCACAAAAAGCGACTTTCTCGAGTAGAGGGTAGCGAGTCTCGGCATCCGTCAGAGTATGACTGACAAAATAGATCGGTTGCTGACTTTTGCTTTCTTCCTTCAGCAGTACTGCACTGATGGTGGCTGGGCTAACGGCCACATACAGATACAAAGTTTCTCCCTCTGCTGGGCTAGCCAGTGTTGGGAGTTGAGCCAGATGCTCCCGAAGCTGTTTAAAGGCTTCTTTTTGCTCCTTCTCCCAAACGAGCTCTTTTGTTTTCGGGAGTTTCAAGGCTTTGAAGAAAGGTAACCCCTTATCCGAAGCTCTGTAAATGAACCTCGAGAGGGCTGCCATTCTTCCGGTGAGCCGCTGAACATCCCGCTTTGTTTTCGGCTCAGGAAGGTCGAGCGTTGCTTTGACTTTGGAGGGATTGGCATCAATCCTCCTCTTGCTGACTATGAACCCAAGGAATTTCCCTGACTTCACGCCGAAGACACACTTCTTCGGATTCAGCTTCATTTGATGCTTTCTTAAGGTGGCGAAGGTTTCAGCCAAGTCTTTAACATGGTCCTCAGATTTTTTGCTTTTAACGATCGAATCGTCGACGTAGACTTCCATGTTTCAGCCCTTTTGATCGGCGAAAACTTGATCCACCAGCCTTTGATAGGTTGCCCCCGCATTTTTCAATCCGAAGGGCATCATTTTGTAATTGTACACCCCAGCGTTCGTGACGAATGTCGTCTTTGCTCGATCGTCGGGGTGCATGAAGATCTGATGATACCCCGAGAATGCGTCCATGAAACTAAGCAAGGCATGGCCACTTGTCGAATTGACTAGCTGATCGATTCTTGGCAAGGGATAGAAATCCTTTGGACAAGCCTTATTTAGGTCCGTGAAGTCAACGCACATCCTCCAGGTACCATTGGCCTTCTTAACCATCACCACATTTTCCAGCCATTTTGGATATTGGCAAGGCTCGATGAAGCCTGCCTCCAGCAACTTTTTGACCTCGGCTGCGATGTCTCGGTTCTTATTAGCGGAGTAATTCCGCTTCTTTTGCTTAATTGGTCGACACGTTGGGTCAACATTAAGCTTATGGGAAATGAGGTCTGGACTTATCCCGGGCATGTCAGCTGCCGAGAAAGCAAACACATCTCTGTTGTCCCGAAGGAGCTGAATAAGTTCACAACGGGTGTTCGGATCAAGGTCCATCCCGATTGTTACACATTTCTCAACGTCTCCTTCGGCCAACTCAACTGTTTCAGTCTGTTGGTCCATGTCCATTGCTGATGGACTGGACTCTTCATAATCTGGCCTGCTGCCTATGTCAGCAGGTGTCCCAGTCTTTTTGTTCTTTCGGCTGGCTCTCTGAATATTTCGGTTCAGCTGAAGAGCTAGCCTTTTCCCTTTCGGGCCCTTTTTCTCTGGGCACAGATCCTTGGGCCGAAGCACTTAGGCCTTTCGGCTTTTTTGTGCTTGGCTCTCTTTCTTTTTCTTTCTCCTCCTCATCATTGTCGTCATCTGGGCGACTACTGGATGGCTTGAGGTAGTTGCACCTTCGGGCGTCCTTTTGGTTGCCCTGTATCCTTTCGGGGAAGCCAGCGTCTGAGACGTAAATCATCAGCTGATGATAAGTTGAGACGACCCCTTGGATCTCATGAATTATGGGTCTCCCCAAAATCACGTTGTACACTGAAGGAGCGTCAATGACCAAAAATTCAATCATGACATTCCTGGCTGCCTCATCGCAGCCGATGGTGATAGGAAGTGTCACCTTCCCATTTGGATAAGTTGAAGCCCCATTGAACCCGGATACCGGGTAGGGTACCGGCGTAAGGTGCTTGGGCTTCAGCTTGATTTGATTGTAGGCCTTTCGGAACAGAATGTTTGCTCCGCTGCCACCGTCAACAAGGACCTTACTGACGTCGTGGTTGGCCACCGTGGCGATGATCACCAACGGATCCTCGTGAGGGAACGTTACCCCCCGACAGTCGGCGGCTGTGAACGTCATGTTCGGCACCGGCGACTGGGGAGGCTGAATGTCAGCGTTGTTCACCTGGTGGGTCAGAGCCCTAAGGTGTCGCTTGTGTTCCCTCCGAGAGCATATTCCTCTCGAGATAACATTGATCGGAGAGAATTTTCCCTCTGGCTTTTTACTGTTCTTCCGGGGGAAGTCGAGGTCTTGCCGAGAGTCCTTTTCTGACCTCTCGGACTCCTTTTTCTCGCGGTGATCCGCGATGTATTTTTTCAAGTATCCCTTCCGGACCATGTCCTCTATCTGGTCCTTCAGTTGGATACACTCCTCAGTGTTATGTCCCGGAGATTCGTGGAACTCGCACCACTGATTTTTATTTTTTCGCTGATACCACTCTGGGAGCGGTCTCGGCTTTCGGTAACTCTGCTCCTCCTTCGTCACGCTGTAAATTTTGGCGCGTGGAAGAGAGAGCGGAGTGTAGGACTCGTATCTGCCTGTGTATGAGGTAGATTTTTCCTTCTTTGGGTCACTGGCCGAAGATTGCTCCGAGGCCTTTGCCTTTCCCTTTGCCCTATGGCCTTGGCCTTCAGACAAGGGTGTTTGTTTTTGCTTCCCTCCCCCAGATTGAGGTTGGGTTTTTGTTTTGTTCCACTCTTCGGCTCGGATGAATTTATCCGAGGCATTCAGAGCTTCCTCCAAGGTCTGCGGGGTATGCATGACCATGAAGTCTAGGAACTTCCCGGGCTGGAGGCCATTCTGCATTGCAAAAACGGCTAGCCCCTGGTCCAGCTGAGAGACGCTGGATGACTCGTTGCTGAAACGGGTCAGATAGTCTCGGAGGCTTTCGGTCTCCCCCTGTTGCAGACCCATGAGTTCTGCAGTAGTCTTCTCTCGGCGGTTTGCCGTGGAAAACTTGCCCTAAATTTGGAGGACAGATCATCCCACCCTGTTATAGAGCCTTGCTTTACTCCCTTGGAGATCCATGCTTGCGCGACCCCCTTGAGAGTGGTTGGGAAATATTTGCACCAAGTCGCTTCGGATCTGGGGCAAAGATGCATATGAGCCTCATATGAGGCAATGTGGTCCTTCGGATCCGAAGTCCCATCATATGTAATGTGCGACGGTATTTTAACCGTGGGCACGTGCTCTTCCAGTATCCATTGCTCGAATGGCGAACTAGCGGGTAGCATAACGGCCTTGCCCTTGTTCCTGGCCGAAGGGACCGCGCTCCGCCCTCTTAGAGAGGTAGGAGTGGTTTTTGTCCCTGGCTGGGAAGTCTGGGCCTCGGCCGCAGGGAACGAGAGGCGGCTGTGCACGCTCGGTTCCTTGCCGCCGAGTCGGTCGAGGACGCTTCGGCGAACAGTCTCAGGTTGTTCTCGGTGAGCAGATTCTGGCCGAGAAGCTGAGCTGCTGCTCTTATGCGTTTCTGGTCGGGAGGTTGAGGATCCTTTGAAAAATTGAGGGTTCTTTTTCCTCTCTTTTTCAGTTTTCCAGGTATCCTCTTCCCACTCTTCCAGTTCCCGGAAGGAAGGAAGCTTCCCACCATCATGGTCTAGCTTCCTCCGCTGATGCCGGGTATGCGGAGGAGTTCGATCACGAGGTGGCGGCATATTTTGCGCCCTCATTGCCTCCATGAGCACTGCCAGCGCTCTTGCCACCTCCTCCGAGCTGGGCCCCGTCAAAGGGGTCCTCGGCTGAGTATGTGAATGAGAGCGCACAGTCGATGGTTGGCTTTGGGGCACTGAATGTGTCCTATGATTGGACTCACCCCTGCTAGACCGAGAGTGACTCGGCCTATGATGAGAGTTGTGAATTACGGGAGAAAGGGAATCCTCCCTGTATGATCCTCCCCCCGAGCTGGCACCCTTGGGAGAGTTCCGGTCCGGCGAGGGTGATGGTGTAGGGGTTTTAGGCTTTTCGCCTGCTCCTTGACGGAGGCCTTTGCTCTTGCGGTTCTTAGCCATTTCTACTAAGATAATTGCAAGATGATTTTGGTTAGAAACTTGGCTTAAAGATTTTTGAAAGTCTTCCCCACAGACGGCGCCAAATTGTTTCGGGTGAAAACAATGGGACCTTGTCGAAGGTCCGATGAAGTGGAGAAGACTGGATTCGGTCCAAGTGATGTTGGGCCGAAGGTTTCCTGCACAGTAAACACACGTAAACTAGCCTCGGGGGTGTTGCCGAGGAAGGCCCCTCCGATGCTAAAGTCAGTACAGTGTGTAGAAAGAGAACACTATGCAAGAGAATTAATTGCTTGAGGCTTTTTTGAATGAATGTACAAATGTAATATTGATGGCTTTTATACCTTTGCATATATGGAGAAGTTGGGCCTTAGCCCAATTGACTTGCCTTGGACTGATCTTGACTTTAGCACAGTTGAGGAGTTGAACCTTGACCTTGGGCTTTTAATTGGATCATTTAATGACTAGGCCCAATTAGACTAAATTGGACCCAAACAACTGATAATTTTTATTTTCATCCTACTCTATATGCATACAAATTATGAAAAGTTTATCGTAAATAAAACTCGTAAAAAACCTAAAAACTCAACTCCATAGACCATATACACATATTATATATACTGATGTCATCCGAGCCAAAAACGTAACACCCCGTATATTATAGTAGTATTATACAGAAAGCCCTAAAGTATTCCCCCATCACTCTTCTTTTTTCCATAAGTTATTGCAATATCTCAGTAATCAAACCAATCAACCTTTTCTTCAATTTTCAATCGCCATTAACAACGAAGCTCGAAATCAATGGAGGACATTCTCTCTCCTTCCGATAAGCAGGTTATGGTCTCCAATTTCCTCGAGATCGCCGTTGGCCAGACTGACGATACTGCCCGCCAATTCTTGCAGGTATTTTCCCCAATTTCTTCCTTTTTTTTTTCTCTTCAATTTCATTAATTAGGGTTTATTCACTGTAATGCTCGATTTGATGATCGCTGCACAATTAATTATGTATTCTGTAAATTTTGTTTGCGAAGTGTAAAATTGAATTAGAGTAATGGTAGATCTGAAATTGCGCTGCATCTGAACTGCGGAACTTGCTTTGAACTTTTTGCTGGTAAAAATTGTTTGGTGTGATTGCGTAAGACGTTAATTTGTTGATGCTTGTAGTGTAGTCCAATTTAGCTGATGGTTTTGATTTAGAACATCGTAAGTGTAATTCTCAATCGATTTTTGTTATGTTTTTTCGATACCGAAGTTGCAACTTGGATTGGTGTGTAGATCTAGATTGTCATCGTGGTGGGTTACAAATGTGTTGATCGGAAAACTAATTTGTGTATCTTGTTTTATATATGCATTAAATGAATTTGTATTTAATAAAGTTTGGCTTTTTAATTTAAAATTAGTTTGGTCGGTGGTAATTCACATTCAAGAAGGTATTTGTGGGAGAATGTTTTGGGAACCGGAAAGATTTAAACTTTCTTTTAAAAATGTTTTTTGTATCAATGGAGGCATGGATACGTGCTAGGTGTCATCATTTTTATGCAGTTTTAAGTTAGATGGAGGTATGATTAAGTTGATGGGAAGTTTCATGGTTTCTTTATCCATCAGTAATGAGGAAGCATAGATAACTTTAGCATTCTGTGTGATAAAGGTATTCTGGACTATTATAACATCTCCTTTGAGTAGGTTGATGGGAAGTTTCGCGGTTTCATTATCTGTCAGCAATGGGGAAACTAAAATAAATCAAGCATCCTGTGTGAATGAGTTATTCTGGACTAGAAAGGCACCAAACCTCCAATTTTCTATGAATTAACTCTGAATTTCTGATTCAACCTTTTGTGAATATTTGAGGCCTCAATCTTCAAGCATTGTCTGGTACTTAAACCTTAATCTTTATTACTTTAACTCTATATGAAAAGTTATCCAACTTCTAAGTTTTTAATGATTTATGCCTGTATAGAAGAGAGAGACTTACAAATGTACACTTTGACATTTATTTATATTTTTACTTCCTTATTTATGTTTGAATTAGTGGATTTTGTTTGGTAGTTGCTCCATATGTAAAGAAGCTTAAATTTTTTTTATCTTATGTTGGAAACTTTTAATTATCATTTGATGACTCAGGCAACAAGCTGGAGGCTTGAAGAAGCTATTCAGCTATTCTATGTGGGAAACGAAGGTGGTGCAGTGGCTCTTCCATCATTTATTCCCCCAGAACAAAATGCAACTCCATTAGTTGACAAGAGCTCTAGGTATGATGGAATAGTTGATTTACATTATTGAATTGATTGATATATATCATGAAATTTATAGCAATGTATATCTTCTTTTGTGGGATTTGGTACAGTGGATCGGATGAGGGTGAAGCAAAGGAAATAAGCGGACTAAATGACGGTGATGATGTGCGCCCACCTTTACCTGTGATAAGAGAGGCTCTCTATGATGATGCTGTGGTGTACGGGTACTTCTCATTTTATTTCAGTTTGTGTTGCTTTTTGACAAATTTACCCTGATTCTTCTCCCTTCTTTAATTTATGCTTAAAAGAGAGACAGGGCCGTTTAATGTTGCTATCTCATATTTGTGCTGATTGCATACTTTATTGAGTGAAGTGGTGAATTCTGGAACTTGTTTTGGTGTTCAGTGTTCACATATGTGCCCTCTCTTTTTTTGGGGAGGAGACTAATTGTATATTCAGACTAATTTCTTTCTTCCTCAACCCATAATTTGTATGGCATTTTTTGCTTCCTTCTGCAAAAAATGGCTATGCAACTGCCTCTCTAGGATTTTTTTCTCCTGGTTGTGAATGCTGGGGTTTGACTTAAATTGATATTTGGTTGAGACGGCTTGGAAATTAGAAAGATACATGCAAAAATTGTACTTTACTTGGGGTATCTTGCTCGATTGGTATTACCATAGTCCACTTTGCGCGAGCATTCACATATAAATATTATGAAGACTTTTGCTGGGGCCATCATATTGGTTAAGCCGGTTTGGAATTAGCATGATGTACATGCAAAATTGTTCTTTACTTGGTGCATCTTGCTAGATGGATATCACCTTAGTGCACTTTGGGCAGCTTTCTCATGTAAACATTATGAACAAATTTTGCTACGCCATCATATTTGTTACTCTTACTCTTCATTTAAGTGTACCTTGAAGCTTGAACATGAGGATGGTGTGTTGTTTAGAAAGATGGACAGAGTTTTACAATGTTAGAATAACAACATAGCTGTTTTTCCTTTCATTGTCCTCAATACTCTCTCCACAGACTGGGTTCATGATTCTTTCCTGTTGATTGCATTGGAGGTAGCATATTCTTGAAAGAATAAGATGGGCTCTATAATACTATTACTGATGATGTCTAATCTTCACGATTGATTCCTAGCCTGTAACTAATTAGGTGGATTCCCCTTTAAGACTTACAGCAGTGTTTGAAATTCAGGAACAAGAAATTGTAATTAAATGAGTAACAACCATATGAACACCCATCATTAAATGACAAGTTTGGCAGAAACACTGCTGAGGTGGGGTAAAAAATACCAAATGAGACGGGGAGTGTAATTATATATATATATATATATATATATATATATGTGTGTGTGTATATATATATATATATATATATATATATATATATATATATATATGTGTGTGTATATATATATATATATGTGTGTGTGTGTGTATATATATATATATATGTGTGTGTGTGTGTGTGTGTGTATATATATATATATATTTTTGTGTATATATATATATATATTTATATATATATATATATATATATATATATATATATATTGGGTCTTGTTGTAGTCATTATGCTTGTAAAAAAGAAACCACTATGTGTTAATAAAAACATGCCTTTTGATTGTGGGGAAATGTACCTGTACTGTAGAATGTAGTAAACTTCATAAATCAATATTGTTCAGACTTCAAGGCTGCATAATCTTTTGTTGGGCTTACTCAGAGTATGTTCTTTGGTGAGTTATTCAGACTTCAAGGCTGCATAATCTTTTGTTGGGCTTACTCAGAGTATGTTCTTTGGTGAGTTATGGTTAGGTCATGAGATTGAGCTTTATCAGCTGAGAGTGTTCCATCATAAAAACAATCTTTGGTCGCCCTCATCAATCTCTGGTTACATTATGCTGCATGTACCCCTAATTCTGTTTTTGTTGCTTTGTAAAAAATGATGCAAAATATCCTTGCTCTTTGTGGTTGCCTAATTGTTGTTTGTCATATGGCTTACTCTAGAGCCTCAAGAATAGGGTATCCACCAGGAATGAGTTCTGTGGTTGCCTTCCGCAATTTCGAGGAGGAAATGAAGCACCCTGCTGTATGGGAAGCTGAACAAGGTGGTAGTTCTACAACAGACAGCTCTCGAGATAACCTTGCTGCTATGTTCCGGCCTCCTTTTGCTTTAATGACCCAGGGTCCTTTTGAGAAGGTTTGTTTCTGTTTTAATTTTATTGTTTTGAAGTACTTTCATTTCCTTCTTTGGGTTTTTTTTTAAGGAAAAGGGGATAGTTTTTCACCTGTATCACCTTGCTCCTTGGGACTAGCCTCCAGACCCTTTTTTTTTTATTCCTAACCTCAATATACCCAATTATCCACTGTCCACACTCTCCACAACTTATTTCAGCTGAACTCTGCCATCTTTCAGGGACCTTATACTTTCTAGTTCCTACATTGATTCTTTAAGCATGACCTTGTCTTTGCAACGCATGATTGAAGCTTGCTTTGCTTTATGAATAAAATAGGGACATGGGAGACTTTGGACTTTGTGATTCTTCTGGCCAGCGACCTACTCCCTTATCTATCTTTGACATCATTATGATCAAGTTGATGTTTTAATCATGTGGCAAATATCCGAGGGTCAGCTATGAACCTTTGTGACGCGAATATTGTTGATAAGCTAGACATGTACTAAGCTGAATATTTAGTTAATTTTTCATTGTGATGTTTCATACGAAGTATTTATTACTTTCTTCATCTCTGAATTTTCGGGGCCTTGCCCTCTTTTATGACTGAGTTTGATCAATAATTTTAAAGCTGTTTGTGCCAAGTATTTCTTTTGAATTAATCTGCACCCTATATGCTGTGTCATCAAATTGAATGTAATGGAAAACTGCAGGCAAAACTTACTGCTGCTGCTTCGGACCAGTGGCTTGTGGCTAATTTACAATCCCCTACAGAATTTAGCTCACATATGGTTGGTGCCACAACACTTTATCTTTCATCCCCTCCCTCTCTCATTATTCCTCTTTCAATGCCTCTGGTTGGTCTTTATCTTTGTGTCGCGAGTGCTCTCCCTCTCTCTCATGCTCACATGCACACGACCTTTCTTGTTTAATAGATAATTGTTTAGAATTTTTATTCGAAATATTTGTGATATCTAATTGGTTGTAATGTGTTTAATAGCTCAACAGAGACACCTGGGCAAATGAAGCTGTGGCCCAAACTATCAAAACCAATTTTATCTTTTGGCAGGTAACTATCCTGTGTTTTTTCTTGTCCTATTTATACTCTCATGTTCCTCTTGTATGCTGGAAAATACTCGATAGTTTCTGGCTATGGTTTGGGTATTATTGCAATCTTTAAATTTAATTTTGTTATTTTAAGTGCACACTGACAATCAGGTGTGTTCTGTTCTAAACTTTTAATGTGCAGTTAGAATTTATTTGATTTATCTTAATGCAGGTTTATGATGATACAAGTGAGGGTAAGAAGGTGTGTAGTTACTACAAAATCGAATCTGTTCCAGTTATTCTTGTCATTGACCCCATAACAGGACAAAAAATGCGTTCGTGGTCTGGTATGGTACATCCTGACCGATTACTGGAGGTATGGGCTTTGCATCTGATTATTTAATTTTCCATAATACCAAAGATAATTTAGCTCTTGTAATCTCCTGATTGAATTTAACTGGCTTCCCTTTGCAATTTTGGCTGATAATATTATCAATTTGCAGGATCTACTGCCTTTCATGGATAGCGGGCCACATAACCATCATTCCTCACTCTCTCATAAGCGGCCGAGAGAAAGTTCAAATGTTCCTGCTCAGAAAGTCCAGGGTATCTTAGATTTTCTACTTATTTTCCTTCCCTTATGTTTTCTCTTTACCTGATATCATCTAATTAAGACTATTATAGACTTATAGTTCCATATTTCCATTCATCATTTCATCCCTGACACTTTCAGAGTTGATTTCTTTATATTTTGTGCAACAAGCCAACATTACTCTAAAATTTTAGTATAGCACGATTCTCATTAGGTTGGAATTGATCTGTTTTGGTCCATTTCTAAATTTCTTAACCCTCTTGTTTTATGCTATTTTTGTAATACACATTTTACTCTCTTATCCTCACTCCATAATATTTACACTTCCACCCATTCTCTTTTGCTTTTTCCATCTTTTTTTTTGGCACCTTGCCACCTCCCCCCCCCCCCCCCCCCCCCCCCCCCCCCCCCCCCCCCCCCCCCCCCCCCCCCTCTCTCTCTCTTTCTCTCTCTCTGACTTTAACCTTTTTTTGCACACACTCACCTCCCCCCCACCACCCCTCCTTTTTATCTTATTATCTGTGCAACCCGTAAATATTATGATCAATAGAAATAATTGAGGATGAGTTGCTACTTAACATTTGTAGGGTAACATTTATAGATCTGCCCATGTAAATATCCTTCCTGTCCAGACCTCTTTTCTGTTGGATTAAGGCTATGTTGTGCTTGGACTTTCTTGATTGGATGGACTAACCTGTGTACTGATTTTTCACATGTTGCAATTCAGTTTTTGGTTTGTTGAACCAAACCGGAGTTTGTTGTGTGTAATTTATCTGGTTATGTGGAAATGGAATGAGTTAGAATGTATCTTTGTTTTTACAACAACAATCACCAGCACTTTATATGATTACTTTTGTGACTGATGAACCAACCAGGATTATGTTTATGTATATATCTATAAATTTAGGGTCAAATGAGAAGTTCTTTATGTCAGTAGGATTTTATATGCATATTTTTTGAACTGGATGTGCATATTTTCTGTACTCAAATAAGATGTGCATATTTTTTTTGAATGTAATGTTTTTATTTTCATTTTTCCAGAATTTTGAAAAATATTACCAGTTTGAAATTTTTTTGCATATACAGTGAAAAATTGTTGCACATCAATCCTTCTCATTTTAAGTTATATATTTGTTTTGAAAGAGTCTTGAAATTATGAGGTTTTATGTTCTGCAGGTGAGACCACCTTAGATGATGAGGAATTGCAACGAGCTCTTGCTGCATCAATGGAGAACATGAATCATCCAGATGAAATTGCTTCTGAAGACAAAGATGCAGTCACTGCCAACAAGGAGGAAGAAAAATGCTCTACAAAGATTCCTGTGTATCCCCCTCTTCCTGAAGAACCAAAGGGAGAGAGAAACCTGCTTTGCCGTGTTGGATTTCGTCTCCCTGATGGACGAAGAGTTCAGCGGAACTTTCTGCGCACTGACCCTATACAGGTTAGGTTTTGGCTTCTGTCTCACCTCTCCCTCCCATTTTTTCCCTTGTACCATGTTTTGATTGAATTTGCTGACTTCTTTTGTTCTGCAGTTGTTGTGGTCATTCTGCAGATCCCAGCTTGGAGAGGCTGAGACAAGGCCATTACGGTTGACACATGGAGTCCTTGGAGCTGCAAAATCTCTGGAATATGATAGTAATTTAACCTTTGAAGAATCAGGGCTCTCAAACTCCATGATATCTGTTACTTGGGAGTAAGATTGATATGTTGCTCTCTCGGTATATATATTAAGTATATGGCTGAGAGCTCAAGCAGACTTTTGACTGAATCAGTTATCTTGCAGTTTGCTCCGCCTTTTGTTTTGTCATATTGTTTGTAGAACAAGTATGATAGGAAGGAGTAATTATTGTTATGTAGTCCATATGTATATACTTAAATGCCAACAGCTCATAGAATGGTATCTGTCAAATTACAGACAGCTAGTTGTGTCTTGCTTTAGCTCTTTTAATCCAAGTCCTTTATATTCGGGTGTAGTCAGTTTCACCCACGAAAGCACGAACACTTTGCAATTGCTTATTGGAAATTCCTTTTTCTCTCTCTCTCTTTAAAAAAAAAAAAATACCGGACTAAATTTACTATGACTCCTATGAGGGTTGAGGTCCCCTTTCCCTTTTCCCTCAATTTCAAGTCACTTGCTTGTAAATAAGGAGTATTAGACTAAAATAATTAGTGGCCTGTAATACTATACCAAAATAGCTAGTGACCTGTAAAACTAAATCCAAATAACTATGAGGGCTGAGGTTTGACCAATGCAAGCCTATTTTGAATGATATTACCCTTACAAATCCAAGTAAAATGTTGCGAAGTACAATTAATTGAATCATACATCGAGTATAATTCACCAAAAAGTTAGTACTAAGAGTATAGCCATCCGTTATCCTTTTTTTAATGGGCATGAAGAGAGAAGATGAAATAATTATAAAATACAAAAAGTAACTTTTTTGTAGAGAGAAATGCCATGACATTTAGCAAGGTGGGCAAAAGATGAGGGTGCGCCACTTGTCTTGTAATTATTGACCCGTAGTGTTATTTTTAATATTCTTTCTAGTGTTTTATATGCATAAGATATTAATGACCAGGGCAACCAATGAGAGTATATGAGCATTAAGTGGGTATGGGAATTGGGCATGAATGAAGTGAAGAGAGAAATATGTATTAAATATTTGATGACCACCATTGGCTTGGACAACTAGTGACTTTGCTCTTTGATAGAATTGTGATGTATACGTGATTTGATTTTAGGGACGGCTTTCCCCTTGATGCTGATCTTGCATCATTTGTTTAGCGAATGATCTCATCAAAAACGGACTATGAGCACGGGTTAACCGGGCCCAAAACTCCAGAACGAGAATCCCGCAAAAAGTCCCAAATTCATTTTCTCTCTCCTCCCCAAATCCCTCTCACTCCACTCTACAGCCCCCTTTCCCATTTCCCCCCCTTCGCCCAAATATTCTCCTCTTTTTGGCGCTTCTTCTTCCTCTCACTCCCCAATTTTCCAAACCCAATGAAGCGAGTTTTCGACGAAATCTCCGACGATGAATGGGAGAATCACTCCTTCAAACCCTCCAAAGTCCTCAACTCTTCTTCTTCAACCCCCAAATCTCCTCCTCCTCCCATTGAATCCTTCTCTTTCTCCTCTCGATCAGCTCCGATCGACCTCACCGACGACGGTGACGAAGACTACGCGCCGCCGCCGGAGGAAGACGATGACGACGATGATTTAGAGGACCACGACATCGACGACGATGATTTGGAGGATCACGACGCCGACACACGAGTTCGCGGCCGTGGTTTCAGCCGTGGACGGCGGTTTGTGGTTGATGATGATGAGGATGAAGATGAGGTTGGTGATGATGATGATGAGTTGCAGGAAGTGGTGGAGGTGAAGTCCGAGGATGAAGAAGAAGAAGAGGAGGAAATGGCGTCGTTGTCGGATACTGATGATGATGATGTTTTGGAGAAGGAAGAGGAGGATGTGGTTGGGAGAGCGTTGCAGAAGTGTGCGAAGATTTCGGCGGAGTTAAGGAAGGATTTGTATGGTTCTTCTAAGGTTGAATGTGAGCGTTATGCTGAAATTGATGCTTCTTCTGCCAAAATTGTTAGTCAGGTTAGTTGTTTTTGATGATTTTGTGATTTTTAGGGCTTAGTTTTGTATAATTAAGTTGTTTGTAGATATTATTTTAGAGGCGAATGCTAATTCAAATTGTTTCTAGCTAATTTACTCAATTTTGTATTTTGGTGGATTGTGTAAAACTGTAAATACATTTATGTTGAAGGTGAATGCGAATTCTTATTGTTTTTAGCCGAATGTGGTTGCATTGGACTTTGTCACCGAGTTCAGGTTTTTTGTTTCAATTGAGTGAAATTTTCTGCTGCTACAATAAGTTGTATTGTGGAAATTTATATAAAAATGCTGTTTTTGCACATATTTGAGGACTATTAGCTATAATTTCCACATTCTATGTAAAACATGGTTCATAGTGAACAAAAAAGGGTGACTCGATAATCAAAGGAAAGAGATGTTTTGATATGCTAGGTAAAAGTTTAAACAATAGTGGATGAAAAGCTTGTTTCAATATGAGTGAAATCAGTGAAATTCTGAGAAGCAATAGTGGAAATCATGCTGTTTTATGCACATATTTGATTAGTATCAGCTTTAATGAACTAGATATATGATATATCACTGGGATTATAATTTCCTAACATTTGATAGTTCACTACTTCACTCATTTTAGTTTTATGTTTTTGTTGGGATTCTGGTAGTTATGTGTGCTGTATACATGTTCGGCTACTACCAATATTTAGGGTGATGAGACAAGACAGAATTGATCACTACAGTATTTGCGAATGTAGGTTACTTCATAGTTGCTGAAAACTGGATGATGGTGTGGGGTAGTAAGGGTGGTTGTGGCATAAGGAATTTTTGAGAGTTAAATACTTGAATTGCACATATCTCTCAGTGAAAATGTATTCTCTCTTCCCTATTTGTTTTAGATACACATTCTTGGGAAAGTAGCAAAATTCTACTCAACTAGAACACCAATATTCTGCCAAGAATCCCTTGTGGATCCAAATTTACAAAGACTTCCCTATCATAGTCTGAAAATTATTTCAAAGGAAATTTTCTTCACCAAGATGAGGAAAGTATTGTAATAACTCTATCACTTCTATGTATTGTACTAGCTCTTTAAGCTAAATCTAGAATTTTCAGATGCTTGTTATAAAAGTAAATTATTCTATCCTAGGCGCCATACTAGTATGATTTGTGGATAGTGGGTTGTGAGAACAGTAAAAAAGGGAAGCTGTTTCTATAGGCTCAAGAGGCACCATTTGTTTTTCGCTATATAAGGCCTAGTGTGAAGTATTAAACTACTTTTGGATGAGATGGTTCATTTCACATTTTTTAGAGCACATTCAGCAAAAGCGTGTTTTGAAATCACTTATGTTGGTTTTTCTAATCTTTATTTCTTTACGCTTTATCTGTTTCTCATTCTGCTCCCTTCTATCTTTCCCTCTGCCTGCTATGTCAGGACGTTATTAACGCAGCGTGTGGAGCAGAAAATTCAGACTTTCAGCCACTTCTCAAACCATATCAGCTTGTTGGGGTCAACTTTCTTTTGTTGCTGAACCGAAAAAAGATAGGTGGAGGTGAGAAATGTTTCTTATACATCAGGTTACTTTATGAGTTAATTCATGCTTATGTGTAATATCCCCTGATGCTTTAAAAGCTGTAGACTACATTCCATAATTCTTAGAGTATGTCTGCGTATCACCTTGCATGTAGGTGCTCCTTTTTATACATAGGTCGTAGCATGAAGTATAATATCTACTTTATAGAAATGTTAACTATAAAATCCTTGTTGATGCATTGCTGAAATGAAAAGAACAATGAATTAGGGTAAAATTTATGCAATTATGGTTAATGGTCATTGAAATAATCAAAGAATTATTTTTACAAATCATATTACCTCTTAACTTTAAAGAATTGTGCTACATTAATTCTTTTTTTTTTTTTTTTTAAAAAAAATACGTGCTACATATCACTTGAAATGTCAAAGATCCATAGTTTAATCTCTCTTCCTCATATTCATGTCCTCTTATTCTCAAACTCTTTTACACATGAGTGCAAAAATTGCTCTAGCCCTTCAAATGCTTATACTACTATATTCTAAAATCCTTCAGATTGAACCAGAATAAGATGCATATACTAAATGTTCTGGATTCGTTAGTAGTTGGGTAAAGTTTGCTCACATTTGCTTACCCCCTCACATTATCACAATTATACATTTGAATACTAGGGGAAAAAAGTGGTTAACAAAAGACAATAATCTTAAAATGGTGAATTTGGATTAGAACATTTTTAACCTCACTATTTTGGGGCCACTTTGATCTTTTGAGTAGAGAGGATCAATTAGTGTTAATATCATATTTACCACATTGGCCACTTTTGTTTAAGGAACATCTTGATCTTGCGAGTAGAAAAAAGATTTAATTTTTCCAATGGTTGATCTCCCATCATGATCTTTAATTTCAGAGAGGATTAACTGGCTCCAATATTAGATCTACCCTCCCAATTTTTGTTTTGGAGAAATAAACAAATATCTCAAGAAAAGAAAAATAATGAGGGTAAGATAATTGGGATGCTGTAAAAAAGGGAATATATGAAGATGAAATGATCACTTTTTGATGATTAAAGAAAAACTTAAAGATGGAATGATTTGATAAGTAAAATAAAGTGATGATAGGCTGCGAGCCTGCGAATGTATCCTGAAAATACTTTCCTTTGTTTCAAAATACTTTTTTTTGGTTACGGGTTATATTCAAATCAGGTCATCTCCAGGTCAGTTCATGTTCGGGTTTGGGTCTCAAATACTCGGGTTAACTTGGGTCTAGGGTTGGTTTCAGGTCGGGTCATATCGGGTTCTTGCCACCATTTTTCCGGGTTCAAACAGGTTGGTTAATAATCGGGTTCGGGTTGAAATTTTGGGTCGGGTCAACTTTTGACAGTTCTATATATAGCATAATGGCTCATAATTTAAGGAACATATCAAAGAAGACAAACAAACAATTTAATTGTAATAACTTAATTACCGTTAACAGGAATGGGTTGGGCTATAAAGGTTTTATGTTATATTTACTAAGAATGTGTGGCTCACAAACTGACACGACGTACTCACAAATAGACTCAAGGGGTACACTTGTATGTTGTACCAAAGTTCATGTAACATAGAATCTTGTAATGATTAATGTTGAGAAAATCTTGTTATCTTGTTTCTAACTAAATCATTGCCTTAAATTGCTTGTTTTATGTGCAGCTATATTGGCTGATGAGATGGGTTTGGGGAAGACTGTTCAGGTACAATCATCAGTTATTTTCAAAAAAAATTTCCCCAAATATCCTATTGTATGCATTAGTATCCTTAATTTGTATGTAACTTTTGTGCCTCATTCTTTCAGGCTATAACATATTTGATGCTGCTGAACCACTTGCAAAACGAT